CTGCAAGACCCTTCATTAATGCTGGGGTAGAATATTGTGGACCATTTTGGATCCACTAAAAGGGGAGATGCAAAAGCACAATATATATAACATATCTTGGTATCTTTTGTTGTTTTGCCACAAAGGCGGCACATCTCGAGTAAGTGACCGATTTATCAACACATGGTTTTATTGGAGCATTAAAATGATTTATAATTTGACGAGGGCGCTGTTTAAATATTTACAGTGATAACGCAACAAACTTCGTAGGCGCCAAAAACCAATTAGCAGAACTAGGGGAAGCATTTATTCCAATAAAGGGCAAGAAGCAATAATCTCTGCCTACAGTACCACAGGAATAAATTTTCATCTTATTCCATTAAGGGCTCCACAGTCCGCAAAAAATTTGTTACTACGCAGTATTTCAACAGCATCATTGAGGTATGAAATGTAACGACAAACTTTCTGTCGCTGATGATGCTGAGATATACTCAGCCGTCGTCCAGGGGTCGTTGTAATAGAATTTTTATTTTGGAAGCCAAAGACAATGTGATGTAGTAATCCAATAATTTTTTTAGGAAAATTTAAAATAAAATAAGGTTTTACAATCTAATATAATTATAATATAATGCTGTTTTGCTAATTTAATGACTACGATTATTTGGAATAATTGTGCTTCGATGATTGTTCCGATTGTTGTTTCCACGTCCCTGAAATGTTGCTGTCAGACGACACTACTTGTGCCAATCTTAGTGTTTTTTCAGAAGACGTTGTTAACTAGAGATTAGAAGTGTTATGTTGGGTTACAGCCTTGGTTAGCATTCATTAATGTTAGGACGTATTACTACCCTAACTCAAATCTACAGAAAATCCTACTAGTCAAGATGTATCATGACTACCTTGGCTTTATTTACATGTAAGACTACATATACAATCTACTCGTCAAGACGTATGTACTACCTTGACGCTATACAAGACTAGTAGTCAAAACGTATGTACTACCTTGACGCTATAGTTCTACTGACTTGTTTCACGAAGACGCATTAATACCTTTGAGAGTTTCCCAACAAGTGCCCTTGCTTGTACAATACGCGTTTATTTATAATCAAACGACCGAAGCTTTTCCTGTAACGCATCGGTACATTTGACGTTGGTATTTTTGATACTTGTTGTCTTTTGCTGCTGTTGTTCTTCTGGGTGTAATTTCTGTGCTTTGTGTCTTCGTGTGTTCTTGAATTCGACTTGCTTTGTATTCAGTTCAACCAAAGCTTTCATGCTTTGACGTTTTTTGTTTTGCTTACAAACGTGTTTTTTTTATGTAATGCCGGTGTTTGTGGTTTTATTATTTATATTTATTTATTAATAAATAAATAAAAACAAAAAGAATTAATAACAAATAATAAAAAAAAATAAAAATAAATAAAATAAATATATAAATAGTGAATAAATAAGGTGTGTATATTCTTCACTTATTTAAATACATTTTTTTACTTATTATATGGTAATAGTAATTTCAGATGTATTCCGTATGTTACTGATGCAGATGCGGGGTATTACTTGTGAGTTATTTTAATATAATATATATTAAATAAAATTAATCTATTTTATGTTATTTTAGATCGTATTGAAAATTCTTAAAGTGAGTGAAATTATGTTATATGTTGCGTGTTAAACATAGTGTATTGTGATGTGTAACTAAAATGTCTTTTGAAGTTACTACTATCGTGTTGGTGTTGTTGCTTGCTTGTTGTTATATTGAATCTATGTAGGTTGGAGATATGTGAATATTTCCTTCCTTACATTTCCCTTCTTCTTCGGAAAGTGAATTATGACGGGACGCGCTACCTGTTAGCATGGTTTCTGTTCCGTTTCTTTGGACTTTTGAATATTTTATAGAATTTGTCTTGGTCTATAGTATACTATAATTCTGTTGAAGTTTACTTCGTCCTTTCACTTGTCGTTGCTGATTTTGCGAACTGAATTGTTCCTGGGGTATAAGACAACATTTTCCGATTTGATTTAATAATCCGTTTACTTTTTAATTCAGATGAGAAGGTCCAACTTTCTCTAGATGTGACTGCAGTAGTTGTTCTTGTTGCATGGTGCCTTTCACCAAAACTTCTTGTGTAATTGGTAATAGTTGCTGCGATGATTTACTAATACTTTGTGTTTCTTGAATTATCTGACCTTGTCTTGCAGTAGTTTCCATGATCATATCGTTTTGTTGACCTTGTTGTGGTAGGATGTATTGTACCTGCTGTCGTGGAATTAGCGAGGTTTCTGTGGGCGTTGATTCATGAGGTACGGATTCTGATGAGGTTTCTACCAATTCTGTCGAGGATGTAATCGGATGTTCTTCGTGCACCTGCAGCTCTCGTGATTGTTCTACATCTTGTATTTGCTGTTGTACGTTTTCTTGATCTTGTGTAGAATATGTATTGAAAATTCGATGTTTACTAAGTCCTTGATTATTTTCTTTGATAGGCGTAACACGTTGCGAATCTTGCTGTGGTTGTATTTCATGCGCTTGCAGTTGATCTGGTATTACTCGGGGTGGATGAAATACTTCTGTATTTTCTTTAATCGACATAAGACGCTGCAATTCTTGTTGTCGAGGTATGAGACATTTACATTGCATTTGTGAAATTTCTTGTAGTGGTATCGAATATTGTTCTAGATCATTTTGATCCTGCATGTTTCGCTTTGTTGTACGTAGGTTGGACTGATTCTGTTCCTGCTTGCTCTGCTTCTTTCGTTGGACATGTGACTCGAATTTTAAACTATGTGTAACGTTCTTCGGTATTTTCCTAGGTTGCGCTCTCATTATAGTGTCATGCAATGGAATTGCTTGCTCAACTTCAACTACCAATTGCCTAATACTCGTTTCTTGTCCATGGCTTTGACTTGCTTTGTTCTGCTCTGTTCGTAGTGCTTCGAAGTCACCAACTACTGTTATTAATTCATCTGAAGTTTCGAAATCTCCTCGTCCGACGTGGTAATCAGCGTTCATATTGCGATATATACGTTCTAGTTGCGACGCTTGAATAATACAGGCTCGTCGCATTAGAACTTTGATGTCAATTAAATAGTCTCTAAAATTTTCTTTTGGTTTTTGAAGACGTACTCGTACCTCGTTCTCTAGTTTATCAATGTATCTAGAAGAAATAAATTACTTTAAAAAATCAACCTTGAAACTTGTCCAGAGCTGCCAACGACAATTGTTGTTGCGATACCATGTCAGCGCCTTATTTTCGAGGAGCAAGGGCATCGTGCTGGGAATTGAGTTTACATCAATGCTGTACATGTCCGCTAGTTCTTCTACGTGTTCGATAAAACCCAATGGATCCTTGCCACCGTCATATCTGCAGGACCATTTCTGCACTTGTTCCACTATTTGAAGGTATGAGTTCACTGGAGGATTTATAGAACGTATGTCCTTCTCTGGTATTTTTCTTGATCCCGATGACATTGTTCCTCTTGCAACATTCGTTAATTATATCTCCCTTATCTGGTTGTTAAATTTTCCCTCTCGTTATAGTCTTGACTTCAGTGATTGACCAACTAGGTCTGTTCAAATTTAAATAAATTTTCTCAACATTCTTATCTTAAGGAAAACTCTGCGGCCTTTACTATTTAGCTATTTTTTATTTAGGAATGATAAAATTGGTTTTTTAATGTATTTAGGATAAGAAATCCGTGCACATTAGCAGTGGTGGTTGTTTAAATTGCTTATCATTCATGTAAGCAAAATACCACCAACGCACAAGAAGATAACAATTACTTGATTATTTAGGATAGAGTATTTTCTTGTCTGCTCAAATTGCTTATTTACGCATGCTCAAATTACTTGTATATTTAGGATAGAATATTTTCTTTGTTTATTTTATGATCAAATATTTTGTATCTTTAATTTGAGAGATAAACCAATATCATGCATTTAGTGATAAGGATAGATTTTAAGTTACTATATAAGCAGTACATTTTTAAAAATAAATTCAGTATCTTACAAACATTCAATGAGTATTAAATTTTTACTACGGGGTAAATTTTTAATATTTTTGGTCCTTCGAGCTTTTTTGTATCCACCACCAGTGGTAAGATACTTAAGGTATTAGAATCAGTGAAAAGGCGTATCTGTGGCTTAGACAATAGGCAAGTGTTTAAATTTGTGAAAAGCGTATCTGTGGCTTAAACAACAGATATTAATAGCTACTACTTCGAGTTTGATAAAATCCGTCGAATTTATTAAGCGTACCTGTGGCTTGAACAGCAGGTTAAAATATTAAACGGTTATATCGGACGCGTTTGTAAAAAAAAAACGTTTAAAATGCCTATATCCAGAAGTGCCGACGAAAAGCAGTTTGATCGGCTCAAAGATATAGCATATACGTTACAAATAAAAGAGTTGACGTCTAGGAGATGTCGTCAAAAGACATTAAGAAAAACAAAAAATGGTTAAAAGATACATGGCATTTATACACAGAGACATTTGAATCTGTATGCGAAACATCTTATAAGGAAAATTCTCAATTTAAAGAAACAGATAAAGCTGCTTCAGAAGCATACAAGAATATGTAAAATATATTAGATGATTTTGAACAGCTTGCAAAGCAAGAAATGTCTTCACCTGCAGAGTTAGTAGAGGAAACGGAAGATAAAAATGCAGAAAGCACACATGCAGATACGCCAACTTCTGTGGATGGAAAGGCAGGTATATGGATTCGGGCAGAAAAACAAAACAACAGTCTCCAGGCAATGAAAGTGTAATTATACTGAATCGCAAAGAGTTAAATGAAAAACCTAAAAAGATTATAATGCGTTTTCAACAAAGAATTGATTTGTTGAAAGAAAAAATAAAAAACATTAAGGGAAAACTGCCGGAAGCAACTAAAGGGTTGCTTGATACGAACCGAGCCAATATTGAAGCTCAGTTTAAAGACATCACAGTATTATACAACAAAATTTACGATGATAGAAGATAGAAGATAGAAGAATGATAGATAGAAGAAACCTTCATACTGATGCGAGCCAGTTATGAAGAGATCTTAGAAGAAATTGCGATAAAATATGACGAGAATATAGCGACTGAACACTGCAATCCAACTCGTTTAGAAGACTTAAGACTGCCAAATTTTAATGGAACTGTAGACAATTGGAACTCTTTCCAAGAAATATTCTCAAAACTTGTAGATGATAACAAGATGCTATCTAATGTTGAGAAATTTTATCGACTGAAAAACGCCATAAAAGGGGATGCTGCACGGCTAATTCAACATCTTCAAGTAACAGGAGAAAACTACAAGGCAGCATGGACAATATTAGAGCATAGGTATAATAACAGAAGGCTATTGTTTTGTACGCTATTTGATAGAATCATTGATCATAGCAGCGTTAATACACGAAATGCTGCAAGTATTAAACAGTTGCTGGATACTGCAACAGAATCATATCAAGCTATAAAAGCTACGGGAATACCAATTGAGCATGCAGATCCATTTATAGCAAGAATTCTCATACGAAAACTGGATAAAGAAGGTTTGCTGAGGTATGAACAATGCGTTCAAAAAACAAAAGAAATTCAAACAGTAAAAGATGTTATGACATTTTTAGAGCAACAATATTTAGCTCTCGAATCGGTTGGCTGCAAAAAAGGAAATATTACAGACAAAAAAATAAAATCGACAAATGTGTTTCAAATTTCACAAAAACAATGTATGTTTTGTAACACAGTAGGTCACTCTGTTATTGAATGTCGGAAGTTTACTCAGCTATCGGTTAGTGATAAAAACTCCTGGATTAATAAAACAAATATGTTTTGCACACAAAAATGACAAGAAATGCTATAAGCTGGATAAAAAGTGTGAGCAATGTGGAGGACAGCATCACGGTATGCTACACTTTCAGAGAATTGTGCAAAATAAACCACAAACTAGTGCTGGTGCAGCTGCAAGCATGATTACCAAAGAAAATAGTGCAATCACTTTATTAGCAACAGCACAGATTCAAGCGGATTCTGCAAGTGGTGAAAAGGTTTTGTTAAGAGCGCTGCTAGATCAAAGTTCACAGAGGACATCAATTTCAGAGGTAGCAGCACAAATATTAAGGTTACATAGAACTAAATCAAGAACGGATCTGATTGGATTAGGAAATACATTAGTAGGAATATCAAAATCAACAGTAGAACTCGTAATTCGTCCAAGATTTAAAAGCAATAACAGTTACAAAATTAAAGCTATGGTTCTTAGCAAGCTAACATCAGCACAACCTAATAATTCGTTTAATGAAGATTTAAAAAAATGGGATAATTATTGTTTAGCTGATCCTATGTTTAATAAATCTGACCGGATAGATATAGTGCTGGGAGCAGATATCCTTACCGAGATATTGCAGCCGGGTTTGAGAAAATGGGGTAAAATCTTAGGTCAAGAAACTTCCCTTGGTTGGATATTATCTGGAGTTATCAACACAAACAATACAGTCAAAACTATAATATCAGCAGTTACTTCAAACATTGAGAGATTTTGGGAAATTGAAGAAGTTTGTGAAGCACCTGAAATAAATGAAACTGATAAAGAATGTGAAAAATGGTTTAAATCAACAACAACGCTAAATAAGGAAAACAGATTTATCGTAAAATTACCATTTAAAAAAGAAAACGAACTAGGAGACTCTAGGAAAATGGCTATGGCCAGGCTTTTGTGTTTGGAAAAAAGATTTAAAAGAAACTCTAAGCTAAAAAAAGAATATATCAAGTTCATGAAGGAATATATGGAAATGGGTCACATGCAGAAAGTTTCAGTAATAAGAGATGACCGTTCAACAACAAAAGTTCGGGTAGTATTTGATGCTTCAGCAAAAACTACTAACGGAAAAAGCTTGAATGAAATACTACACACTGGACCTAAGCTACAGTTGGACATATTTCAGCTACTTATCAAGCGGAGATTGTGGAAGTACGTTATGACAGCTGATATAGAAAAAATGTATCGGCAGGTGTTGGTAGCAGAAGAAGATCAGCCGTACCAAACTATCCTATGGCGTGAAGATCCAGAAAAACCAATAGAAGAATTTGTACTGAAAACAGTAACCTATGGAACTTCTTGTGCACCGTTCTTGGCAAAAAGAGCTCTACTAGAAGTTGCTTATGATTGTGCAGATAAAAACTCAAAGTTATATCAGGTAATAAAAAATGATTTCTATATGGACGATTTGATGACAGGTGCAGACTCCATAAAAGAATGTGTAAACATTCAATTTGATATCAGTCGGCAGCTAGAAAAGTTTGGATTTCATTTGCGAAAATGGATGGCAAACGAAAAGCGAATTTTAGGTGAAATTTCGGACTCTGGAGACAGTTATATTATTAAAGTAGAAGACGGAGAAGCTGTTAAGACGCTCGGTATACAATGTGTGCCGAAATCAGACAATATTACCTTTTACATCGAGTCAGTAGATAGTACTAACATAACTAAACGCAAAGCACTGTCTATATTGGCTCGAATCTATGATCCACTTGGATGGTTGACACCAACAACAACAATGGCGAAATTATTTATACAAAAATTATGGCTTATGAACTTGACGTGGGATACGAAGTTAGACGTTAAATTATCTCACGGATGAAATGCGATTGTTTCAAGGATTTCGACTATTAAAGATATAAAAATTCCTAGATGGATATCAACTTTAGCTGACACAAGTTTAGAGCTTCATGGATTTGCGGACGCTTCAGAGAAGGCTTATGCAGCAGTAGTTTATGCTAAAACTTCTAATGCTATTACTATGCTAACAGCAAAGTCTAAAGTAAATCCGATAAAAAACAAAAAGACATTACCCAAGCTGGAGTTATGTGGAGCTCATCTGTTAGAAAAACTTATGAAAAGCATTAAGGAAGTTATAAACAGAGAAGTCAAAATATATGCTTGGAGCGATTCAACAATAGCATTATCATGGATCAAGAACGAAAATAAAACTAAAGATAAATTTATTGGGACTCGTGTAAGAGAAATCAAGCAATGCATGCCTTCGGCAACGTGGAATCATGTCAGGTCAGAAGACAATCCAGCGGATGTGGCTTCAAGGGGCTTGAAACCAGAAAAACTTGCAGCACATAGTTTATGGTGGAATGGTCCTACATGGTTAAAAGATGAATCAAACTGGCCAACAGCAACTGAATCTGTTCTTTGTGCAACAAATAATATAAACTCTTCACAGAACATAATCAACGATATAATAGATCGGTATTCCAATTATAGGAAATTATTATACGTCATTGCATATATAAGCAGATTCATCAGAAAGCTAAAAAAGGAGAAGTTTCCTGTGTGGTTGACAGTAGAAAAATTAAGGGAGGCAGAAAATATTATAATACGGCATACTCAACATTTATATTTCACAAAAGAAATCAATTTGATCAAAAACAGAAGAGAACTTACATCTGGTTATAAAATTTGTAGTCTTTACCCGTTTCTGGATAAAAATGAAATACTGCGAGTCGGAGGCCGGTTAGAAAATTCTCCATTCTCTTTTGCTACAAAACATCCAATACTATTACCAAAATGTCACTTAACGATGCTAATAGTTGATGATTATCATAAAACTACACTACATGGCGGTATAAAACTAATGGAAAATATGTTGAGGCGGCAATATTGGATAATTAATGCTAGAAATATTA